CCCCTTTTTTTTTTTAAGAAATGTCTCTGGTACCTGCAGGGGTGACTGTTTATGAAGCACTGAGAACACACTCGTCCCAAATGGTGCATTCGGTCTCTGCCTACGTCCATTTCCCCTACGTCCTCCAAGGCTACCTGCCCCTGCTTGCTGTCGGCAAGTACCGTCCAGGGCGCCTCTTCTCAGCGTCTCCACAGCAACAGCACATTCACAACAAACACACCATTCCTGTGGCTCACTTGCTTTGGTCATATCAAGTACAACCAGCAGGTGGCGTAATGGTTAAGGATACAGCCGCATAACCTGATAGCTGTCAGCATCTATGATTCTTGGTGTAATGCGTCACACTTGACCTAAACAGTTATAATATCGAGGCACGGGTTAAATGCGAGTTTCTTTCATGAAATGGCAGGAAGCAAGTTTATGCTTCTGATTATAGCTCTGTATATAAACACCAGGGTGGAAATGCATTACTAAATAACTGTAAATGTTAAGCAGACATTCTGCCAGCAGTGAGTCTGTCACTCATTGGGATTTTCTGCTAACTGTTGCTCACTGTATTGCCATGTTCCTCCAAATGCAGGGGCCTGTTTTACAGAGTGGCGGCTGCTGAGGGAGCGAAAACAGCAGCTGGAAGGTTGGAGTAAAAGAATGAAAAGGAAGTGAAACTTCAGGCCCGCCTCCCTGCAAGGGGGGGGGAGGGGGGCAGGGGGGGGAGGGCTAGATAACAGTAAGTCTGGGTTCACAGCACAACCAAGACTGGCAGTTTTTGTTTTTGGGAAGGAGTTTTCCCTGGAAAAGGGACTTGCTAGGCAGTACTGAAAGCCTTTTACGATGAACCCCACCTAACCGTTATTCCGCCCACCGTGCCAGGAACACAGAAATTCCCACACTGCTGGTGCAGAACAGATGAGACACGAGACTGTTTGTTTGTTTATAGCATTTCTTTAATACACAGTCACGGTCTAGGGCACAGGGTGAGGCCACCCCGACGAGTGCCATTCACCGTGCCCCTCCCACAGCAACACGGCGTGCCCGTGCTTCTGTTACGCAACCACTGCACGCATATCAATGACAAGCAGCAGGGTAGAATTAAATCACATCTCATACTGCTAGCTTTGTCATTTACAGATGTGCTGAATTCACGCTACAGCCGCGAGCGACATAATCGCAGCCTATCAGGGTCACATGATCATTTTATACACCATCATGTGACTTGACTCACTCCATGCCAATCTGAGGAAATAATGGTGCTTCACTGTTTGATGGTATCGTCACATGAAGATCACTGAATGGGGGCCGGGCCAGGCAGGCTCAAGGACACTTCCGCTGGGTCCTGTGATGTCCACGCTCTTCGGGTTGGTGCAGCCAAGCTGTCAGGATGCCAGTTTGGACCTACCAGCCATAAGCTCGCGCCCAGACGGCCTTCTTCCGGAATTCGGGGAAGTTCCTCAATGCGGCGATGGCGGCTGTTTCCGGAAAGGACGGAAAGGCAGGTTGTTGGGACGCCCCACTCAAACGCGAGTCCTCAGCGCCCACACGTCAACAGCGCGACTCTGAAGCATTACAGAGATACCAGGCAGCGACCCGGAGATGTAGGGACCCACCTTTGGCAGCGGAGACGGACGGTTCGGATAAGCTCTGGGCCGGGCCCTCAGCGATGCTGAAAAGCCAGTCTAGAAACTGAAGGGGTGACAGTCCCTGGTTAATTTTAACTGCCCCCAAAACCAGCTAAGCTCTGTGCTCATTGGCAGCTGGGTTCATGTGAAAACAGGAAATAAACAATAAACAACTTTTAAGATTTGTTTGTTCAACTGTCAGTAGTAACATTTGTCGTCTTTGCAAGTGGGTTAATGTTTAATCCGATGAGAGTGGGGTTCTGGTGTACAGTTCTGCAGAAGGTAAGGTCGTCCTGCAGTCCACTCAGACTTCATAAAACTACTCAAGCATCTGCAGGAAACCTCCAACCTTGTAGCTGTGGTTTTACTCCATACCCTGCTGGGGGATACGCTTTAGCAAACTCTGGATTTAATCGGCCGAAATCAAAGGAGGAGGAGGAGGAGAACTGCAGCTGCGCATTTCCTGCTGTCCCGCCGGCTGCATTTCCTGCTGTTGCAAATAAACAAAAGAGAACCACACAACCAGCTGCGGGTCTGCTGGGGGTGGCCAGCTCACGGCATTCTGCAGAATGACACCAAAAATGGTAGGGGGGGGGGGTTATATAGCCAGAGATGGTGAGAGCTGATTATGCTGTATAAACAGTACGTGTCATCAACCTTCTATGGGTCGTTTAGAATTGGGTAAGAGAAGAGCTGTAAGTGGAGAGCAGCTTTGTAGGTGGGGGGGGAACGGGAGCTAAGAATTAAAATATGCATGATTATTGATATAATAACCAGTGGGACGCACTTTTTGAGTCTGTTCTTTCCAAGGCTCCTTGGTCAGCAGCAGCTGGAGGCTATGGGGAAGTGCCAGCAGGGCCTGGAAGAGGGGCCGCCCCGGGCTGGGCAGGACCCCGCAGAGCGAGCCGGCCCGCCCGGCTTCTGGGTCCTCCTCCTGCGGTGCCCAGCTGGCCCCGACTCCCTGGAGCAGCGGCATGGCATGGTCTGCCCAGGTAAGCACGGCGGCGCTGAAAACTCGCAGCAGGAAGTCTGTGGCCTACACAGGAAGTCGGGGGCCCGGTTACCCGGCAGCACGCACAGAAACCCCGCCCCCCTGCCACACATCTCCCAATCAGTGTGGTTTAGCTGATATCAGATCATGGCTGACCCCCACTAAGGCCACAGGCGAATTTCTGAGTCACAAGGCTCCCGTTCAGAGTCGTGTTTTTTGTACGCTATGCAAATGGCTGCCTGCCCCTTAAGTTTCCAGAAAAAGTTTGGTCCATGTGACGGAGACATTTTCAGTAAGACTTATACACTCACATGTGCAAAATGCTGGCAGGAGTCACTGCTAGGAACAGTGAGTGGGAAGCAATTACAGACACAGATTACACAGGGCAAGGTTTTTAGAAACACTGGTTTGGACGGAGAAGTGGACCACATCTACCCTCCAGCATCTGGTCAATCATTTTACAGGACTGGATAATATGTCACCTTGGCTCCTTAAAGGACATCCATAGACACACACTTGCTTGCACATGGGAGTTTTACTTACACAAAAAAGTACTGAGGGCAGAAGGAATAATGATTGGTTGAGAGGGAGAACCAATCACATTGTAGAGGAGATGGGTCCAAGCAACTGAAGTAGGTAGAACCAACCAGTCAGATGTCTTGGTCTTGCCTCCTCTAGTTGCTTGGATCCACCTCCTCTACAATGTGATTGGTTCTCCCTCTCAACCAATCATTATTCCTTCTGCCCTCAGAACATTTTTATATAAGTGAAACTCCCATGAACCACTCGGTCACTCAGCATGCAGCAGCATGCGTCTGGGGCCACTGCACCTGCTTGGGCTCCCCGTACTTCACAGAGGTCGTTCCATAGGCCACGTTCCGGATGAGGCCCATCAGCTCCAGCAGCCATTCCATCCTCCTCAGCACACCTGCGGACACACGGAGCCAGGAAGGATTTAAAGCAGCACTTCCAAACCTCTCTTTCGAAGTGCCCCGCCCTCGGTACACGCTGGGTACGGTGTTAGGCTCGGCTAAAAAACACCAAGCCCATTCAGACGTCATACCAACTGATAGTCAGACAGTTATTAAGAAATCTCCGATCTGTTAGCTCACGTAAAACGGTATAATTTAAGTTGCAATTTAAAATTTCATTCGAACTGGCATCTTGTTCAGGGTGTAACCGAGCCATGCGCTCTGTGCAGCCCAGGACAGGGTGGGAGCCCCACCCCCCTGGCCAGGATAAGAGGCTGAACAATGGATGAAGATTCATTCGGTTACTTAAAGTGGAAGTTCATCCCAAAACTGAAAAAAATACATGTTTTAGAGGGGCTTTAAAGCACCGCGGGTATCTTCTGCGCAGTGATACGATTCGTGTGTGAAGTTCGGTAGAAGAAAACAGTTGCTCACTGCAAAGTCTGTGGATTATCTTCAATAACTGGGTTATGATATCTGGTAAGAGATGTTCTTGTTGAACTTTCTAAATGTATTTTTTTTTTTGGTGCTTTAAACACCACAGAAAGAATGCTATTCAGTCCCATTATACTTGAGAGAAGACAGACATTTCTACGGCCGATATCGCCAAACTCCAAAACTAGGCAACTCCCAGCAGGACAACCTAGATGGATAGACAGCACTGAAGTCCCTGTAAAACATCTTTTTTCAGTTCTGGGGTGAACAGCCCCTTTACTTAATCAGAATTTTGCTGCAATTTGTCATTACAATTCAAATGAATAACAGTTCTATAAAAGAACACAGACTGACGGATGAAACTTTTTAAGTCTTTATCTGCTTACAAACAACTTATAAAGGGTAACACACACTAAATCAAGCAAGCACGAATTCAGTAATCAAAGGAATTGGATCAAATTGATTTAAAAGGCTAACTGGGACCCAAAATAATGAAGTGCTGCCCAAAGTGGCTGGATCTTCACATAAACTAAGTTGCAACAATCAAATTTATCTGGTGTTTTTTATCCTTCGTGCCAAAACAGCAACTTCCAATGCGGTTCATTGAACTGACAGACAGTGTTTACGGTCTATGATACAGCCCTTTGATCAGGTCGGGAGGCCACTTCACTGAGGCACTGTGTGAAGATGCCTATCAGGCACTGCCAGGCTGTCATGGAGGACTGGGATCAATGTTCAAACGGGCCAAAAACAAACCTAATCACCCCCCCCCCAATGAGGGTTTGACTTCAAAACTCCTACTTGACCCATACGCTTTGTAACGCAGGCACCTGCTGTCTATCCTATGCTGTAGAACCATCCCATTTTCCACTATTGAAGTCAGTGCTACAAAAGCCCTGTAACCTGTTACTCCGTTTAGCTGCAGTTTGTTTGTGTATTGTCTGTTTATGTTTAATATGTCTTTTGTATTTTATATACAAACCACATTTCCAGAAAAGTTTTGGGAGTGCACACGCTACGCTGCTGCGCGGTGGGAGTAGCGGCCAGAAGTCGTATTAGAGGCGGAATTGGCTTTTAGGGGGGGGAAAAAAAATTGATGTTGCAGACAGGAAACTGGAGCCCAGTGAACACAATTTGGACTTGCAGTCCTCTTCGTTTGTATGTCTGAAAGTTCGTACACTGAAAGTTCGTAAGTAGAGTAGCGTCTGTACAAAGAAAAGATAGTTCTGTCCAACTAAATTGTATTTTGGAAATACAGTGCCCTCCATAATGTTTGGGAGAAAGACATTTTTCCTCTATTTACCCCTCTGCACCACAGATTAAAATGTCAAATTCAAACAATTCAGACATGATTAACGTGCATGTTCCAGGCTGTAAAGCTATTTGCATACACTTAGGCTTCACCATGTAGAAATTACAACACTATTTATACATAATCCCCCTCATTTCAGGGCAACATAATGATTGAGACGTTTGACTTCACAGCTGTTTGGGATTTACTCAGGTGTGTTTGCCTCTTTAGTGCAGGGATAAGATACTAGGCTGGCTTCCAGCATTTGGAGTCTAATTGCCATTGTTAAACATGAAGATAAGAGCTGTGCCAGTGAAAGTCAGAGAAGCTACTATGAGGCTGAAAAACAAGAATGAAACCATTATAGTCATCAGTCAAACCTTAGGATTATAAAATCAAATGTCTGGAATATCATTAAGAAGAAAGAATGCACCGGTGAGTTCAGCGGAGGCAAAGGGACTAGTAGGCCGAGGAAGACCTCCACTGGTGATGGCGGAGTAATCCTCACTATGGTAAAGAAAAATCCCCAAATGCCTGTCCAACAGATCAGAAATGGCAGCTGTCTCTTTGTCGGAGACTAATATCTGCAGACTTAATGAACAGAAATGCAGAAGCTACACTGCAAGGCGCAAATCAATAGTTAACCACAAAAACAAGATGGCCAGATTACGGTTTGGAAAGAAGTACTTCAAAGAGCCTGCAGAAATCTGGAA